ATGAAATGATGACCTCCTGCAGACATTATGATTACATTATAAAAACTCACCGTACAAAATAATTGCTAAAATTCTGCATGAAGTCTTTGCTAGAGTTCATATAGACGTTCCTTAAGATTTTATTTTCATTTTTAATTGTGTGTGTGTGTGTGTGTGTGTGTGTGTGTGTGTGTGTGTGTGTGTGCACATGAATACAGGTATGCATGGAGGGAAGAAGAGGGCATCAGAAACCGTGGAGCTGGAGTTGACAAGTATTCATAAGCTGTATGACATGGGTCCTAGGAACTGAACTCGGGTCGTCTAGAGCAGGAGTAAGCACTCTTAACGGCTGATCAACTCTCTAGACCCCATGTAAAAGTTATTTAGCTTCATCTGTTTGGAATTTCATGTAGCATGTTTGAATTGGCCCTTGTATGATTATATGTGCTCAGATTATGTCCCTTTATCATCATTAACTACCAATTCACTTGAAATCTAAGGAAGCTGTAATATCTACTGAGGTCTAACAAACATGTTCAGGTTTTTTGACATTGCAACATAATGTCATTTACAAAGTATACACACAAAAAACTACACAATCAAGTTAGAAAAACCACACATACAAAAATATCATAATGTTATAAGTTATAATTATGTTGGGCCACAGTCATAGCTATCCTCAGCTAACAGGTCTTGGGTTTGACAAGCCTTCAGGACCTCCTCAGTTTTATTTAAGAATGTATTTTATAGATGTTGAAACTATGGGACCCAACATAACGGGTAGGTTTCACATATATATACTATGATAAACCACAGCCCAACTACTGGCTCCTAGTAGGTGTCTGGGATACAGCACCCAGGCATATAGGCAAGCAAATGGCTACAGAAAGAGCATTGTGGGTTATCTAGTCTGGGTCTTCTGTCTTATCCATCCTCCATATTTGATATATTTATTAGCTAATAATATGAAACTGTTATGTATGATGAACTTCAGGAACAACTCAGTGAAAATCAGAGAAACCATGAGTGAAAGCCAGTCACAAGACTTGGTAAGATAGCCACAGTTCTGCTGTGTTGCTGTGGGAAACAGAAAATCTAAGAGCCACCGTTTCCACATGCTAGGGAATAGCCAACTTTACAAGTGATGCCCATGAATGCAGAGGTATATGGAAAACTACCATAAGACTCTACCAATGTGAACTATCATGTAAAGGGAACACACACACATACACACACTCACACACACACACACACACACACACACATACACATACACATACCACTCTTCTGAGTCAGCCACATCCCCACTCCAAATAATGAATGGCAGAAATGATAATAAGACCTATCCCCAAAGGCAGCTTTTCATCTTGCTTTTGATACTCTGGGAGGCACACAGAGCCTCTCTATCAAGGAAGCAAGTTGGGAATAGACTAATTAATTTGTCAATATCACGCTCTGTTAGCTGGCACACATTTGCAATTTTTCAGGTTTTTAAATCAAACTTTCAAAGTCCAGCTAAAATAAAGACGGATGCTGAAATCACATGAAAAACAATTATGACAGTGAGGGCGAGCTGTAGAGGTTAACCAAGCCATTGAGCTCTTCAACATGCTAAGGCAATTAACCTTGTTGGTATATGTTAAACATGCTAACGAGTTCCAGGCTCCCTTCACTCCCCTCCCACTGGACAGATAAAGTGCAACATTCACATTTAATGACAATTTTTTTCCTCAACATCATTTCCAACGTATTAATTAAATGCCATTTTCTCCCCTTTGGCAAAAGTGTCCACTTCTTTCAGAGGTTCCAAACTCTTACAATGAAATGAATGCTATTTTTAGAAAACAATGTTCTGCTACCATTGAAACAGAGTGAAGTGAGTGCCTGCAAGTGGGGACTGAGAGGCGCCCCACACTTACAGCAAGGAGTCCTGGGATTCTTTTACACAGGAGTGTTACTGTTTACATGTAGGAAGACAAGGTGGCTTGGGATGGAGGCAGAGGAGCCTCACTCCAAGGCTATCTATACAGTTGCCTTGACTCTGCCACAGTTCCCAAAAACACAGTTTGTATAATGGTTCATAAAAGATGGTTCTGAAAGCCATGCTTTCTCAAGTAATGAGCCTCAAAACCAGAGTGATATTTATCATTAACCTCTTATTTTCCCCAAAGTCACAAGTAGAATATATAATTAAGTCATTTAATGATCATTATCCCTAACTGGCCATTCTGGAAGTGTCTTCTAGAGGACTGCCTCTGCACATCTAATTTGGAATGAAGACAGTTAAGCTAGAATGGAGTCATATACAATGACCCTTGAGCTCAGTGTGTGAAAACGCATTGTGCGCTAGGACATGTTAGATTACTTTTCTAACAGTCACTTTGTGTATGTGTAATACAGGAATGGTAACACCTATCTCACAGGGCAGTTTAAGTTTTACTCTTTTGGTAGGAGTGTGAGTTACAGTGTCTCACTGTGCAGCCCAGACTGGCCTCAGAGTTTACATGCCTTCCAAGCAGAAGTGGCCCTCATGCTCCAAGCTCACAGAACATACTTTAAACAGTACTGACTGGGTAGAATTAAATGGCTCTTCTAATGTTCAAGCACAGACTGGATTAGAACTATGATTTGCTTTCATTGTTCTGCTTCTAGAGCCATTAATTTATACAGTCTACTTCATGTAAAAGGACACTTAAGAGCCCTTCAGTGTCATGTGGTAGATGGATTGTGCCAGCACCATCACACTCTATTCCAACACCCTAGTAAAGACATACTGTTCTTTTTTCCTGTGTGTGTATGTGTCTGTGTGTTCAACCGATAGTTCACCTTGCTAAATATTCACCATACAGCATAAATTCCACTCATATCTTCACTAATGCAGTTTGTTTTGCCTTTACCAGTCAATTGCTGTCTAAACCAATAGTATTGTTATTGCCAAGGTCTAAAGCCTCACTGAATTCCTGTTTTAAGTGACTGGCATCTAGATTACAGATGTTCTGAATTAAAGATCAGCACTTGAAATAAGGATCTTCCTCTTCCAAATCCCAACCCCATGTACAGTCTCCTCCAGGACACTGGGACAAGCAAAACAGAGTATGTTAGCTTTCCTTACTGATAGACCAAGGATGTATGAGCAAAGAGGCCTGCAACCACAGTACACGTCGATTATGTAGCATGTTTCTGCTCTTGTGAAGACTCCAAAATGGTACAGTACATATGTGTGCCTCCTTTCCAATAATTAAATTATCAACTTGGCCTTTGTAGTCATGTTAATAGGAAATGAGTTCCTAATTAGTGTTTAATGTTGAACTGTTTTAAGGATGTGCTTTGAATAAAAAAAGAACAAGAATTATATACATGAACAAAGAAAATTCTGCTGGGTAGTAGGAAAAGATTTCTTCCCGCATGCATTCCCTGGTCTCTCAGAGATATTTTGGTTTTCAGAGGTATATGAGTCGTGTAACTGTCAGAGCCCTAGCATGTCTTTCCCCGTATTCAGAAATAGTAGGCAGAAAGTGATTGTGCTTCATTTCCAAAGGACAACTCACAACCTAAAAGCAAGAACCAGACTTTGTCCAGCAGGGAGAACTGCAGGTGACAGCCAACCTATGGCTATACCTGATCCCATCTTTACCAGGTCAACACCTCCATCTCTCCTTAGTATTTGACCTAAGGGAATTTCATGGTGCCATAAGAAGGGACCCAACCCCTCAACAAGCACACCTTGTTATCTTATCCCCCTGTAAACCTCTTCATCATAAGATAATGTGCTGTTTTTTTATTTTGTTTTGTATTCCCACTTTCTTTTTTTTTTTGAAACTCAAAGGACAGTGAATTAGCTACAAATAGACATTTCTATGACATCTTAAAATGTCTCCTGGATATGCTGTGTGCTCCTCTCAAATCCATTTCCCCAGGTACCAATATGACTCTACCCTTCCATACAAATGAATATAGAAACTGGAATTTTACTAAGGCTGGAACAGAGTATGGTCCCTGAACCTCTCAGTCACAAAAAAGTCTTCTTATCTCCTCTCTCACTTCCTGGAACAGAAGTCCTTATTTCACATGGTTCATGAGATATTTTTGCAAATGTCAGAACACAACATCTGATTTACTGTAAATATTTATAATTGATCATTCCCATCATTCTTTCTTTTTCTATTCTTCCTTGACATTCTCCATATGTACAAATATAAACATCTACATATACAAAGAGATATATACACCGAAAGCAATGAAATGCATTCAACAAATTACTTATGTAGTAAACATGTTTGTGTAAACACCTTTTGCTGATTGCTCTTTAATTACTATAAGCATTATATTTATCATTTAGAAAACCAAGCAATTCCTTTTACTCAAAATTAGAGTCTGCCACAGCATAGGCATATATCCAAGAGAAATATAATGTTTCTCTTAAAGGGGCTGGAGATATGGCTCAGTGGTCAAAAGCACTGGTTATTCTTCCAGGGGACCCGGATTCAATTCCCAGCACCTGCAAAGCAGCTCACAACTGTCTGTAACTCCAGTTCCTGGTGATCTGACACATTCACACCAATACACATAAAATAAAGTTAAATGCTTCTCTTAACAAAGTAGAAATTTTAAAAAAATCTTTATCAACAGCTTCCCTTGGACACAAAAAATAGGAATAAAAATATGTATGACAAAGAACAATCTATTTGCTCATCTTCTTACCTGAGTCTGTCATGGACTAGACATCTAAAATAATTTCTCTTTTCTTTCTGTTGGACTCCTGTCCAGGTCTCTGTCCACTTTGTCATACTGCCCTTTGCCCATCTGATCCTTGTTAGAACAGTGTTTCTTCTGTTTTCCCCCATTGTACCATGTCTATCCCACAACATTCCATAAACTCAGAGAGAAAGAAAATATGTTTCTTAAAAGACCAAAGACACACATAAAAGCAAAGGCAGTTGGGGACAAGACAATAAAAACAATCTGCTTTTAAATGTACCATATTTGTCTTAAAAATTAAGAAGCTAAACTGCATATCATACCTTTTTAGTCTTAATCCTCTTGAATCTTAGGTACAAATGTCAGGGCAACATTGGGATTGATATAATGTTCTCAGGTCCCCACTACAGCAACAGTCTCCTTAACTTCCACACAGCTTCCAGTGCAGCTGTCTCCAAATTCCTGAGGATGGAGATTTCTTCTAAGTCTTTTCTTCTAAGTCTACAGAATCACAAGAGAAAGATTTGCACACAGAAATCAGCAGAGTAATACCAAATCTAAGACCATTTGTTCTAGGAACTACACATAAGCCACTTAAATGGAAACTGAGAATTCAGCACTGAGTGATTAAAAAATTAACCCAAACACAAACATGCATACATGCACACCATGAGCACCATTGCCATAACCACTACCACATCCACCAGCACCATGAGCCTTACTACCATCATGATCACTCCCACCAGTACCACCATAAGCAGCACTAGTTCCAGCACCACTGACATTGCCACCCATACCAACAAAAAGTAATTATATTATTATACTAGAACATTCTTTTCTAGGACACAACAATATACATTTGTTAATTTATTTTAGAGGGAAACAAGGATTAGAGATGAGTCATTCATTATGTTGGTTTGGAATGAATGAACGAAAGAAAGAATAAATGAATGAATGACTCTTTGGTAAAGAGTACATACTTATTCCTGGTCTATGGCAAAGTGACACACAGGAAAAAAGTTCATTACTCCACCTCTATAATTCTCTGTATCTGTATCTAAGATACCATAGTTATTTGTTACCACTGGCCATTCCATCATGGGTACCTCCAGGAAATCATTTCACCTTTCTTGTTTCTAATGTAAAGACACTTTGCTACCCATTCCAGAGCCTCTTTTCTATGTATTTTCTCACTGGGTCTCTCTTTTACTTCCTTGAGTTGTCACATTCTCATACATGAGATTTGTTTCCATTCCTAGATAGTCTCCTCAAGTACAATTTATTTTTCGACCAATTATTCACCAACTCTACCTATATTCTAGTAGACTTATCCTATTAGCTAGAGAAAACATAGGTCATGTATCTATAGTCACCATTACATCTGTCCTGAAATAAGTAGAACCTATGTATTACCTCCTTTATTCCTTCTTAGTCAATGGCAATTTCTTTTCTCCCTCAACCTTCTCTGTGAATTTCCCTCCCTCTCCCTTCCCCTCTCACTCTCTCACCCTCTCCCTGTATCTGTGTGTCTGCCTGTCTGTATCTCTCACTGTCTTTGTCTCTATCTCTGTCTTCCTCATATATACCAAATATTCTATACTCTATCATCAGAAAATTCTAGTGGCTCTTTCTTCAGAAAATATGCAGCCACTGAATTTGTCTTTCCATCTTCTCTGCTGCTATCCTGGTTTATAGCACCATCATGTATCAGACCAAGGCTACCACTCCTATCAAGAGTTTGAATAAAAGAACAACACTTTCATTCTCAAATCCACCCACTGCCATTTTAAGTTCTTAAATGGCCAAAATGATCAGGAATGATGCAGCAGTTAAGGCTGCCCTGTCAGCCATATCTGTTCCTCATGATTTCTTCAGGCGGGTATACAATACTCCAGCATGCCTCTGGATGCTTTTGGGTCTTTTCAACTTAACACTGACATTGCTTTTTATCTTGTTGCATTATTTTTGTTCCTTGAGAATGTGCAGCTTTGCTCTGCTATTACTTCTCCTGTGTGTCTCTTATAAACACCTTATATAAAATAGTAAACTCTTACCACATTTACCATTCCTCTTTCTGTGTAAACCCAGAGAGTCTTTCTGTTATATTACACATTTACTCATTTACCACTTGATTTTCTGCAACAAAACATAGGTTCTATATGTGTAAGGAACACTGGTTTCTTGTAGTATTTCAAACATGTATACTACAGCCTAGTATGCATACTACAGTCTAATGGTACTCGATTTTTTAGTGAAGTAACAGTCTTTCTCAAGGCCATTTAGCCAGTGCCTATGCCTGGTTTGAACCCAAAGCATCCCATCTCCAGCAATTCTGAAAATTATGTGAGAGCAAGAACATGAATACTTTCCAGTATTAAGCTTAGAAAATGGCTTTAAGAGGCCTGGCATGTGACACAGATATTTATTATAAATATCTATAGATATGGTGTAAAGGAAAAATTCTAAGTACCCACTTCTTAGAAATGAAAGAGCACATGTTGCATGTATGGAAATGCCCCTGCTCCTGCTGTGAAATTTACTTAGTCTTTTTCATTTCCTCTACCTTTTTTCTGATGCCATCATTTTGATCCTTCTTTGCAGTCTCAGTCCCTGCCTTCTTGGAGGGGGTGTGAGAAAAATGAATTCAGGGCTACATGAGTGAAAGGGAATCAGTGTTAGGAAGTATGGAACCAGAGTTGAAAGGATTTGGGATCTGAAACCAATTTTCTCATTAGTTAGCTTTCTTCATGTTTGGTTTGATGTCTTATCCTTGGGAGTCTCTTTTCTCACTGAGCTAAACTACATGTCCTTAATATTTGCAACTGCAAAAATAAAAATGATATGTGACCATCTTGCTTTTTAAGATTTCTTAAAGATTAGCTAAGTCTATGATTAGCTAAGAAATAGGGTATATATAGGGCTTCAGAAAGATCCTAGATATGAATGCAGCCTGACACACTAGAAGATGATGTCATATCCCAGTGTCAAAATGTTAGACACCTCCAACAGACTTTTCGATGATTATTGCTAATAACTTCATCTGCTACCATGAAATTCTTTAGCTTCTGTAAGTAAAAAGACATCAGATTTTCTAAATCAAATTTTATTCTGTAAAACGAATCCTTTAAGATGTTTGTGATAAAGAAGTGACCACAGAGGTAAGTAATTCCTTATTGTGATGATGGAAGTCCTTAAAGGGTTTTGGGTTTTTGTTTCTTGTACCTATTGCAATCATATACTCCACATGACATCTCATGATTTTATATACTTTCATTTAATTTCCCTCCATTGTCTGAATCTTTTCCATGTTCCATAGAATGGGACTACTTCTGGGATCACAATGATTCTGGGTAACTGCCTCTGTACCACCACCTGATGTGTGATGTTACCCTGACTGCCCTCATAATAGCAACAGTCAGCAGAACTACATAAATTGAGTCAACTTTTCTTCTTTATTTCATGTCCTCTTGCTGATACCCAGTAATTTAGGGGTGATCTTGGCCAGGGTTTTGTAGGAAGATGATAATCAAATTGTCACTGCTTCAATTATTCCTGTATTCCAGAGCCAAGGGACACAACTTCAGAAAGGCAAATAATGCTGTAATTCAGAATAATAATACATATGGAGTTATTAAAAATTGTGCATACCACTTTGAGAATTTCACTCTCAAGTCTTTCCAAATGCATCTTTGTTTTCTAACTTCTGTTATTCATAGTCAATGTAAGTGTAAAAACAACATAAAAATATATCACCTTCTCTTCTATCTTAGTAACACCCAACTTAAGAAATAGCTAAGATGTTTCAGAGGAAAACTAAATGGTAGTCCATCCTAGAGCAGATACGGACATAATTGGAGGTGAATTTACTCAACCCATGTTCACTGGACACATACTGTTTGCTATGCATTTTACTAAGGGCTGAGAATACAGCAGGAACCACTGAAGATTTTCCTTGTGACTTCGTGAAGCCTCACTCTTTTTTTTGTTTTGTTTTGTTTTGTTTTTCTTTTTTGGTTTTTCGAGACAGGGTTTCTCTGTATTGTTTTGGAGGCTCTCCTGGAACTTGCTTTGTAGACCAGGATGGCCTCGAACTCACAGAGATCCGCCTGCCTCTGCCTCCTGAGTGCTGGGATTAAAGGCGTGCGCCACCAATGCCTGGCGAAGCCTTACTCTTAATGCCATTCTTTATGCTTTATAGTAGCTTAACTTCTGCCCAGATGTGCTAAAATGTGACAAACTTCCCCCCTAGATTGTCAATTCTTCAATGTCATAATGAAGCATGTGTTGATCTAAACACCTCAAATCCCTCTTGATAGAGAGGCATTTCTATATTTTCTTTCCCATTTGTCTATTTCTTCCTTTTTTCTTTTCCTCCTTTTCCCTACCTCTCCTCTTTCCTTAACTAAAGACAGATTCTTACTAAGATGTCCAGGCTAGCTTTGAATTCATTCTGTGGCCCACAAATCTCTTGAATTTTGTTCCTCCTACCTCAGTCTACAAGTATCTAGGATTACAGGATTAGAGGTCTATAGAACCAGATCAGGTTAGCTAGTGATTTTCTTAGGAAATTATTTATTTCATTAGTTTTCTTACCAGACCTCATCCAACACATGCTTTTCCGAGGTTTTGTTAGGAAGCAAAAGCATTCACCAATTACAAAAGCATACAAGATATCCTGCAGTACAGAAAAAAAATCTGTTTCAGAAATCAGCATCTCTGAAACCCATGGAAACTGCAAAGGGGTTAATCTTAGCACATAGTAAAATGAACTAAGAAGTACATACTGGGCATATTGACAAAATCATTAGTGTAAAAAAAAAGCCAACAAACTTCTCATTTGCCCGTATTTTCCAGGGTGGCAGAGTAATAATAGAGGAAAGTGGCATCTTGCCTTGCATAGTTCAGAGAACATGTCCCTCCTCAAGAGGTATCAATTAGTGGCTACGCTGAAAGCAATTTAAACAATACCCTTTAAATGGCTGGACCATCTTAAAAAATTATCGCTTGTGAAGAGAAAACACACTCAAGCACCAAGTCACAGATCCAGAGGCACCCTCGACACACTTCCCAAAGAGGTGAGTATCCAGAGAAGTCAAGCCAGAAAAAGTAGGTCACAGAGGAGTTAGGAACTCTGCATGTATAATTATCAAGACCCATGGATTGGAAATGTATTAGGGCAAAGGGTAAAATACAAATTGCAATTCAGAAGTTTAAGTTTAAAACAATGCTGACCAAGTCTAATAGGGACTACTGCTCTGAAGACTGACTTCACAAAAAGTGTGGTCTCAGGTATGCCCTATAAGCCTATAAGCATACAAGGTTGTCTCTCTCATACCCAACTCCATGTGGCCAGTCATGCTTCCATGTGTCTATGCTTGATAATACTGCTATCATCTACATAAAAGAAAACTTGATTTGGAAACTTGAACGGTTTTGATTGCAGTCAAATAAATAAGCCACGACAGTGACAGGATTCAAATTCAGAAATGACACTGAGTAAA